TTACAGATCATTGAATTTGATTAATACATACATTTTTAGTTTTTACATAAATATTTGTCATTCTTCTAGTATGCTTGATGTAATTTTGAACAATAGAGAAAAGATACTGATTCCCTGTAACACTTAATTAATCTATCCCTCGTAATAAAAAGTGTATCTAAGATGTAAAAATTAAGAAATCGTAAAGAAAAAATTTCTGGCACAAGTATGCATTGGACAAATAAAAATGATGAAATATATCTTCCATTTTATCACAAGAACACAGAAACAAATTATAACTGACATTGCTTTAAAAGGAGCTAGGGATACTCATTTGTTCTAAAATTCGTTGCTTTACTTTTAGAAAACTTGAATGTCAATAATTATTTTATTAGACTAAATTTTCAGAGCATCAAGACCTTTGTTTAGGATCCTTTCAATAATTGTTATATTTTGAGATGATTGTTGCAAAGAATTATCGTAAGCAGTCTAAAGCGGAGTCTCATAAATCCACTAAACAAAACCGAGTCGTGAACAGGACAAAAAACGCGGACCCAATGAAACACCAATGTTGGGATCAGGTGCCTAGGAGGAGTAAGCATCCCCTGTTGATCGGTCACACCCGCCCTGAGCCCTATGTCAGACAAAACGCTACTCAAGGATAGGTTTTATTCACAAACAAGGTAATTATATCGACCGTAGAATTTGCGAAAAGCTGACTTTAAACGGGGTTGTTGAAAATCCTTTAAATCAAATAATCTGTCAGAGTCTTACCTCTGTTTATAAGATAAACAAAACGTTAGGATTTGTCTATCGCCGCATAGCAAGAATGTTACCAACGTTGCTATGACGTTACTTTTCGGCACTCATCCGCATACCTTTTTAACCTCTCACATGATTCTATTTAAAAATCTGTACTGCCATTTTGCTAGAAACAGTTTTGTTTTGAGTTGAAGCATTAAAATAATTTGCAATTTGTCCATATTTTATTTCTAAATTCATTCCTTTTTGCGTAGATCTTATGTTTCATCTGAGTGTGGAGTAGAAGCGTCATAATGACGTCGGTAAATTCGTGCCGTGAGGCGGTAGACGAGACCCAAGACTGTGTTTACTTAAATATTTTATAAAGTATTGCAAATATCTAAAGGAAATTTTTGGACAGAAGTCGAAAAAGACAGAGGTATTAATATGTTTTGTTGATAATATTCGATTATTATAGATTTTATAATATTTGTGATATTACGTTTTGATCAATGCTCGTATATGAATAAATAGACGATGGAAAAACCGAAGTCATCCCGTTTATCATACACTTTAGTTTTTAGTCGTCCATTATCGTATAGTCAGCAAAATATCCAAATATGAAACAGATGTAACAGACTCCGTAGTGTCTTTTTATTAATTTTCGAATTTTCTGGGATATATTGAGTCGATATATGATAGAAAGTAACTATTGTAAATTTATAACTGTCGAGACCAAGATTTTTCTTCATCTCATGTTGAAGTTTTTGGATAAATTCTGCTTCATAGGAATATAAAACAGGTCGGCTAATAAAGAAGCACAATTAGGCCCATCGGAAATCAACAGATTGTTGGAAGACCTGGGGCCCGTTTTACAAAAGAGCTTACGACTAAGACCAAAATTTAATTCTGCTAATAACTTTCTAATTTACATTAAATAGAAAATGTCGCCCGCGTGGCGCAGTGGTTAGAGCGTCTGCCCTAGAGTCGCGAAGTAAGGAGTTGATCCTTACGTCGCGGGTTCGAATCCCAATGTGGGACGTGGAGACCGGTCCTTCGGATGAGACCGTATAAACCGAGGTCCCGTGTCGCAGTAGGTGCTGGCACGAAAAAGACCCCTCACTGCTCAATGGCCGTAAGTGCCGAGTATAGGACAAAATTTGCAGCTCTCCACCGGCAAGTGGTGGCGTCCCCATATGAGTGAAAAATTCTCGAGAGGGACGTTAAACAACATAGAAACAAACAAACAAACAATAAATAGAAAATGGTTTTAGTCTTTTTAAAAGGTATCATTAATTTTGCAAAATTTTTACAATAAACTAAATTTTTTGGTCTTCGTCGTAAGTTCTTCTTGATCTCCAAAGAGTAAAGATATTGTCAATGAGGAACCCAAGCATCTTTTGAATATCAACTTCAGTGTACTTAGATGTTGAATCAGAATGAATTTAAAAGATTGATCATCTAACAGATTTGAAAATTTACGAGTTATTTTTTTAACTGAGTAAGCAGTTCTCTATTATGTCAGAAAGCCTTCTCTTTAACTTATCGTAGAAAAGTCATATATTTTGATGCTATTGATAAATCGATATTTTTGAGTTTTTAAATTTCCAAAAGTTCCTGGGAGTTTCTTTTTAGCTCACCTGAGCCAAAGGCTCAAGTGAGCTTTTCTGATCAAAATTTGTCCGTTGTCTGTCGTCGTTGTTGTCGTTGTCGTCGTTGTTGTAAACTTTTCACATTTTCATCTTCTTCTCACGAACTACTGGGCCAATTTCAACCAAACTTGCCACAAAGTATCCTTGGGTAAAGGGGATTCAAGTTTGTTCAAATGAAGGGCCACACCTTCTTCCAAGGGGAGATAATCAAGAATTTGTGAAAAATTAATGGCATCATTAAAAAATCTTCTTCTCAAGAACCACTGTGCTTGAAAATATGAAACTTATGTGAAAGCATCCTCAGGTAGTGTAGATTCAAGTTTGTTCAAATCATGACCCCCGGGGGTCGGATGGGGCCACAATGGGCGATCAAAGTTTTACATAGGAATATATAGGAATAATCTTTAAAAATCTTCTTCTCAAGAACAGCAAAGCCATGGTTGGTCATATTTATATGGTAGCATCCTCAGATAGTGTAGATTCAAGTTTGTTCAAATCATGACCCCCGGGGGTCGGGTGGGGCCACAATGGGCGATCAAAGTTTTACATAGGAATATAAAGGAAAAATCTTTAAAAATTCTTCTTCTCAAGAACAGCAAAGCCATGATTGGTCATATTTATATGGTAGCATCCTCAGATAGTGTAGATTCAAGTTTGTTCAAATCATGACCCCCGGGGGTAGGGTGGGGCCACAATGGGCGATCAAAGTTTTACATAGGAATATATAGGAAAAATCTTTAAAAATCTTCTTCTCAAGAACAGCAAAGCCATGATTGGTCATATTTACATGGAAGCATCCTTAGATAGTGTAGATTCAAGTTTGTTCAAATCATGACCCCTGGGGGTTGGGTGGGGCCACAATGGGCGATCAAAGTTTTACATAGGAATACATAGGTTAAATCTTTAAAAATCTTCTACTCAAGAACAGCAAAGCCATGATTGGTCATAGTTAAATGGAAGCATCCTCAGATAATGTAGATTCAAATTTGTTCAATTCATGACCCCCCCCCCCCCCCCGAACCACTTTTTTATTTAAACTTTTCAACCGTTCAAGACTGAACTGATTTCTGCTTTTTCCTAGCCATAGTGCTCAGGTGAGCGATGTGGCCCCTGGGCCTCTTGTTAGAATTCGCATATGATTTACACCACTTCTTGAATAAGTTTTTGCACGATACGTCTGAAGTTTCTTCTTTACAGCAGTGCAATATAACTTTCCCTGTCAGGATTTTACGAAGTTTTTGAAGCTAGTATAGGTACTTTAAATCAAACTCACTACCATTAACTGGAAAACTAAAAGGTGATTTTAAAAAATTCCATCCTTTGAAAGGGAATTGTGAGTATAGGTTGGATAACCAGATGTGAAAATATTTTCGATTTCTTCTAAAACGCAGTTGTAATAATTAGCCTTACAAATAGACTATATATTGTTAAAAGCTTTGTCAGCTGAACAAATAAGACTTATAACAGAGAGGAAAATTCTTTTTGGCAATTTTCAATCACTAGTTTTAGATTGGAGGAAGATTTATTCACTGCAAAGTGGAGAAACACAGACATGATATTGCGTATCACAGAGAAAGTATCAGACGAATACACGCATTGGCGTAGAGAGAGAGAGAGAGAGAAAGAGAGAAGACGTTGGCAGCTATGATATATGAAGATAAGTTTTAGAATTTATTTAATCATTCATATCATAATACAAAATAAATGGCGAGAATATCTATATAAATCCTTTCATAGTCTTAAAATGGCCTCTTTGAATTAATCAGTTTCCAAATATTCTCAATATAAGAAGACTTTGGAAGTTCCATAAATCAGTTTCTTTTTTCTTAAGTAGTCCCATGCATTAGCTTTTTTCCATTTGATGACACAATTTCTTGCTCAAAGAATGGTAAAGAAAGTGATTTTCATATGTATAATTTGCCGTTATCTGTTAATAAAAAATGGAATAAACACACATACATTACATGTATATTATTGTAGCTAATTTGTGCATTGAATATGTCTTGTATGATATAGTATCTGTGAGTTCTATGATGTGGTAGTTATAAAACTGGATTCTCAACAGCAGTTCGAGGCCCAAAATCATTTTTCCTCTCACAAAATGCATTATTTAACACGTTTTTCCTTTTTTTAAACACAATTTGATTTCTTCAAAAGCTTTTAATTTATAAAGAACACAAATATTAGTACTATCATGTCAAAAAATATAGCAATGTTTTCAGAACGGATATTCTCATATAAATGTTTTTAAATTAAAAAAACGCGGGCAAAAAAAATCATTCATATTAGAAAATTTCTTTTGTTAATATAATGGAAAAACAGAAGTTTCAAAATAGCATCATTGTAACAAATTGTGCATTGATATATTAAATTAAGCTCTTAAGTCATTTTTTTCATGAAATATGCATGTAATTGATTAATTAATCTAAACATAAGATATTTCTCTATAGCTGCAGAACTTAGCGTTATAGTTTTGACCAAAGACTAAACTATAAAACCATAACCCATACAGTTCTGCAAGCCATTTTCTCATATAATTTCGTTTTTGATTTTTTAAAAGAATGATACAAATATGATCCTAATCAAATAATGAAATCGAATGAATTGTTTTTTTTATTTTTCCTTCCATGGACAAAGTACAAAACTTTCTTAAATATATTTAACTAAAACACTATTAATATGGTTTAAAAAATTGCAGACAAGAAAGTACGTGAAAATTTCTTGATTCTTTGAAACGAACATCAAGACAAGTTAAATCAGGTTCATGAAAATCACAAAATCCTTAATACTTTTGGGCGACAGAAAAAACAAAAAATGCCAAGAAAGAAATACACTTTATAATTCAAGCAATAACCATGATATATGAGAATACGTGTTGGGTTCAAATTGACTTCAAAAATCATTTTGATACAAATAAAAAAAAGTTTAAACATTAAAGTTAATGACTATAGTGAAATTACATCAATGAAAATATGAAACATAAACTGGCAAACAAACTTAAGAACTGCGTTGTTGATCCACTTGTAGAGCTTCTGGACTCCTTATCACAGTCTTCAGAATAATCACCCAAACACGCAGCATACTGGACCACGTGGGAAACATAATGCTGCTCATGGACGCCATGAAATAAATGTGACATTGGACCCTGAGCAAATATCCCGACATCCTCCCCACTGTGTGTGTCGTATTCTAGCGGCACGGCTGACTGTTGTATATAGTCCTTATCATCTGAAATCAATGACATGGCTTTGGTAACTCCCTTCCGTATTTTACAGACCAGGATTTTTGCCGTTGCAATATTATATTTCTGAGAGAGAGAGAGAGATACCTGTATTGATCCCCGTTAGATTTTGTCGAGGGCTTCTATAACCTGGACCATTACCGTACAACAGTGATGAATAAGGCATATGATCTGTGGTTGGTTCCACCTTAAAACTTTCCTCGTCAACCAAGCCTAAGAAAGCAAAAAGGCCCATAGCCTTATCAGTCACTAGATGGTCATTAAAAGGCAGGTGCTGAGGCTCATTACGGTTTTTGTGAAAACTTTTCCATTCTTTTGCAAATAGTGAGAGCCTTCTGAATTTCAAATTGGTCCAAAGGGGAGAGAAATGGACAAATTTTAATTACAACTTCAAGTGGATATTTTCATGATAATTTGATATTCTTTAGCATTGCTCGTGTTGGGACTTTTAATATCCTTCTAAATATTATATAATTACTATAATATAAGATTGATTGTCCCTTATATGCATCATTGTTCAATGCATGATGATTACAGCATTCGATAATTTTTTTAACCCTGTTTTCTTTAGAAGATTTAAAAATGTTTTTCCTTTATACTTGTATTTCCATGTGAAATCCTTCTTCCGGTGCATGGTAGGAATGTCGAGGGCAATTTTTGAACATACTCGAACTGCTGGGTAACTCAGATGACCCAGTATATTTATGTTAATGCAATTATGCACTACATAATAAAATGGAAATGACAACAGTAGAGTCCATACCTAAAATATCATTTCCTCTATTAGTGTAGCCAGTCAGAGAAAACGGATGGGAGTGGTCAGCTGTGACGATGATAAGAGTTTCCTTCTGACTGGTCAGAGAAACCGCCTCTTTTATTGCCTCATCAAACTGTACAGCCTCTTCTAATGCTTTCTTGGCTTTGTTATCATGGTGGGCGTGGTCTATTCGACCACCTGAAAAGCAATTACAATACAATTTATAAAAGAAAAGTAATTACTACTTATTCCGGAAAAAACTTATTTTATGATATATTTACCTTCTACAACCAGCACAAAACCTTTCTTGTTTCGTCGCAAAATTTTTATTGCTTTTGCCGTCATTTCTGTGAGAGATGGTTCCCCGTTATTACCGGTGTCTCGTTCTAGTTCATATTCCATGTGAGCAGGATTGAAAAGACCTGTAAGTTGGACATATTATGATACACAAAATAGGTAGAAAATAATTTAATAAACGTCTCTAATGATAATGTAACGACTCAGCATTATGATCTCTGTATTTACCCAGCAGATAGTCAATATTGTTCTCGTCAACGGCGTCAAAGTCTTGCTTTCTCCAAACATATCTGTAGTTTTTGCTTTTTCCTTGTTGAATTGTTTCCCACGTCTCAATAAGATTACGACCATCCAACCGCTTATTAACACCGATTGCATTAGTTTCAGGATCAGGTACGGTAACAGGTAAGAAAGCTCTTCGTCCCCCTCCGAGAACAACCTAGAGAGATGTTGTAAGTTATTGTAAATGAAACAGTTTCTTAACTTTTAATGTGAAAAATAAAATTTAGATCAAAGTTGATACTGTCGATGGGAAAAATTGTTAATATTCCTTCCTGTGCTTTCAATGAGGTCGCGAATTAAACAAGATGTGATTGTGAAACACTGATGCCCCCGTATGGCAACTTTTGGCGAAGGTTAAAGTTTCTCAAATGCAAGTCAAACTCCAAGATCAAGCTCAAGAGATCAAAAGTGTTGTTACCCAAAGAAAGGACTCATGTCAATGGATATACCTGGCAAATATGAAAACGCAAGCACCAATTATTCAACATTTATGGTCAAGGTTAATGTTTTTTTAAAAGCGGGTCAAACTCCAAGGGCAAGGTCAAAGAATCAAAATTAATGGTACGCAGGGGAAGACCTTGTCATAAGAAATATACATGCTAAATATAAAAGCCTTAGCATCAACTGATCAAAAGTTATGACCAAGTTAAAGATTTTTTAAAAGTAGGTTAAACCCCAAGTTCAAAAGGTAAAAAAATGTAATCCAAAGGAAGGTCTTGTCACGAGGAATATACCTGTGAAATTTGAAAGCCGTAGTTCTAACTGTTTAAAAGCTATGGACAAGGTTTAAGTTTTTTTTAAAAGTGGGTCTAATTCTAAGGTCAAGGTCAAAGGGTAAAAAATATTTACATCCATGGAAAGGTCTTGCCATAATGAATACAATTTTGAAATATGAAAGCCCTAGCACTAACTGTTCAAAACTTACGGCCAAGGTTAAAGTTGGATAATTTTTGCAAAAGTGGGTCAAAATCCAAGGTCAAGAGGTCAAATATGTTGGTACCGAAAGGAAGGTCTTGTCACAAGGAATACACATGAAAAAATTTGAAAGCCACAGCTCTAATCAATCAAAAGTTATGGGCAAGTTTAAAGTTTTTGCAGACAAACAGACAGACAGCTAGACAGACTGACAGTTCAAAAACTACAGGGGCATAAAACAGGAATGATTCAAGTGTATGGTTTATTGATGTAAAAATAGTGTAATTCTCATATCTGTCACATTCTTCTTATGTTTGGATAAAAGAAAATATCCCCTTTTAAAATCTTAACAATCCGTAAACCAAGTTCAAGTTTAGCATTATATTATAAGTTTATGGTAAGCATTTTTTAAAAAGAATTCTTTTAATGAAATTTTCTAATTTTCTATTTTTAATTCAAATTTTCAAAAAAAAGAAGGAATTATCTCTTTTCATTAGTCTGGAGGTGAATTAGTTTTTTTTCTTTCAAAAAGCCTTTAAAGAAAATGGTACATGTAAATACATGTATGTAGATCCTTCTTCACAATAGCAATTCAAATTCTTTTAAAAGAAATCAGTACTTGTATATATGAATAGGAACACAGGACCCTCACTTATTATTACTTACTACATTAATATACGGATTGAGTAAACAAAGTAAAAACAGGCTTGACCATACTGTAAATTAGCTGGACACAGAAAATCTTACAAACATTAATGTCGAGTCCTTCAATTTGCTTAAAAGAAAATCTTGCTCAAAGAGCTACCCAAAGAAGTATTTTATTAACCTTACCTGTATGTCATGATTGTCGTTGATAAGTTGTAGCGCGATGTCTTTGCAGTCGCCATGCAATGTGGAGTTGATATCTGCATCCGACTCCCAGTCACGATGTGCCGCATGGGCGTATGTTGCGGCAGGAGTAGCGTGTGTAATCCTCGTGGTTGTAACCACACCTGTAGATTTACCTGCAGAAAAATGTATGGTGCAATTAACACGTAATATTACAGTCAAGAGAAAATCTGTAAGGGCTCCCTTTGGGACAGGACGGGGGACGCTGCAGAAAGACGGAATGATGATAAAATTTACGGTGCTACATAACGTAAACGGTAACCCTATAGGATTTAAAACAGACCCTTTATTTGAATGAATTAAACTTAAGAATGAATAAACTTTGATGGTTATGATAGACTCGCTAAACTTATAATCATACTGTAAAAATAAGAGAATGAAATTTATTTAAAGCAGGATGGAATTCTTAACGTGTACCAAATACAGTGACTGGATAAACTGAAAGTGATTTTAATTCCATGAACTATAATCATCTTCATAGAACAGACTGCAAAATGACTTAGATATAATGAACTATAATTTGTCAAATTGTTTTGTAACGGAATTGAATAGAATAGACCAGTCAAACCCTTCGATATTAAGTAATGCAATTCGAAAGGAAATGTAAAGTTACTATTAAGACTCTTAAGAATGAGTAATAAAACTAGAAATTGAAATGGGTAGGAAATTGAGCCCATGACCAGAACCCCTGCTGTGATAGGGTTTGGACTGGGTCCATAAATAGCGCAATCATTGGTATTCTTTGATTGGAAGATTGTGCCGTGAAACAAGCTTTAATCTCCTTGCCTTTTTGGGGTTTTTTCTCAACGTTACAACCTTCTTGGACTTTAATAATATATTTTATACTACTTGAAATCTAAAAACGCCTAAATATTTGTATAATTATTAAGAGTCTATTGTCTACTCAGACGAGATTCCTGGTTGAAGTTTATAAACTACATGTATTATGAGCACGGCGGCTTTAATAAACTTTTGAAAAACTACAAATCTTGTTTGATAAGAATCTGAACCTTGCTGAACTGTTCCTGGTTTAAGGATATGAGCCATTCTCTTGTCATATATAATCTTTGTGTCAAGTAAAAGCTCCCACAGTCCAAAGGTTACAGCTACAACCCAAGTTTCACAAGTATGAACGCTATACCTAACTTAATCCAAATGACCTAGCTATACGGATGCAAAAAATCTCAATATCATGAACAATTTTTGTATCAGGTATGAATGGTTACAATCCACATTACAAAGTAATGGTTTCTAAAAGAATTTCAGACTTCTGATCCTTGTGACATTTTCCATTTAACTGAGGACAATTACACAGACTCAGTTCACAAGCAATCTACCTGTTAAGAAAATAATTCTTGTTTTTCTCCATTCAGAAGTTACAACCAGGATAAGTGATACCGACACAGAAAAAAAGATAGATGAGAAGTGGTGTAATTCACATGTGGGGAAAAAACTCAAGAACTTTTGGAAAATTTGAAATCTCAACATTCTGCCAAAAAGCAATAGAACTAAAAACGTATGTCTTTTCAACATTTTATGTACCCATTTTCAAATAAGAGACCAGGCTTATTGACATCAAAAACTACTGCTTCTTCAATGAAAATGGAACTCGCAAATTTTATTATTTTGTCATTTTTCACTTCAAACTTAAAATCCATTCTGATTCTACACAAATACCAGTAGATATTAAACTAGAGGTACCTTTGAGCACTGAGCTTACAAAATGATACCCCCGCCTCCCATATGATTATAATGGCAAAGTCCATGTTTTGTTATGGGAGACCCAAAATAAGTGTAAGATCAAACAGTTAAATAGGTGCACAATGGCACTATGTAATAAAGATTCTGTAAAAGTATCATTAAATTTTATTCTGTGATATAGGAGTAGTTGCAGATAAGAGATGGATACCCCTCAATTTTATAGCAAGAATGACCGTGTCTATGTTTTGCTATTGGATACACGATTTATGTGTCCGATCAAAACACACAATAGGGGGTCACAATGGCACCGTGTAAGACAATGGCACTATGTAACAAAGATTCTGTGAAAGTCTCATTAAATCACATTCAGTGGTATAAGAGGAGTTGCGGATAGGAATGGGTACTCCAAAGCGTATAAACGAACGGACGTACAGACAGACGGACACCCCCATCACTATACACCCCCGCTTTTTTGTTTAAATTTACAATTTTCATTGCATTTTTACTTATCATAAATTCAATAGAGATGGCTAAAAACGACGTTGGAAGAGGTGTCCGAGGAATTCGTAAAATTTTACTTATCGCATAGACTTTGGAAATGTTTGTACTGGCTGGGGAGAGACAAAGGGAGTGTTTTGGAATTTCAAAAGAATTGACCTTTAGCCGAGCACAATTTCTCGGAAAAAGTCACATTTCAAAATTAATGTCCATTTGTTTTCCGTACAAGTGTCTAAATTCATCGATTTTTGCATGAATTTTGGTCTAGAAGTCCTTCACAGAAGGCCTTCTCATGGATAAAATTATGCTTTTTCGATTGGCTATGATCTAAGGAATAATTTAAAACAGGATTTTTTAAGGGCACCCCTGCCTGGGGGTCGAAATTCAATTTATTCTTTTTCCTTCGTTTATACAGTAGGGCTAATGTCTGTAAAAAAGCTGTCGAAGAAGTACAAAGCCAGGGTCTGCAATACTCAAACAGCTTAATAGGTGTATGTAAACAGTTTAAAGTTGTTACTAAAGACGGAAAAGCTTTTCGAAAAGCGATACGTGTACGTTGATTCTACTCAAAGTGAAAGACACAACGGAGTCTGACACATATGTTTCGTATAAAGTTACATTGTACTTCACTAGAGAAAGACATAGATTGCACTCTAACAACTTTCATGATAAACGGAACGATTTTCTTTTTTGCTATCGTCATCTCTCCTTATTAATGAAACAATATACGAGTACCATTGTCCCATGCATACGTTCATACGAGTTTATGTCTTCTAGTTGATTCCATGCGGAAGAGCATGCTCTAAATATGAACAACTTCTAAACCGAGACAGAATACTGACAAATAAGTTTATTATACAATTCCATTTAAAGTCATACTCTATATATGGTTAATACAATGACCTTGTTTGCAAATATATCTGTCATTAGGCCGAATGTTGACACTGAATTGTCTACAGATTTCTCCATTTACGTGTACCCGACCATAGTTATGGGTTTACGGCGGGTGTGATTGGTCGACAGGGAATGCTTAATCATCCATGACACATGATCCCACCTCTGATGTTTTCAGGAGGGCCCTTGTCTACTAGATGCTCTCAATTTGTATAGTTAATTAGATGATTTATGTTCATTATCTTCAAATTTCATGAATATTTGGTCAACATGTTTGCTTCAGTAACTCTACCTTGCTCTATGGCGTGCCTTACGATAGAGCTAACTTCGGCTGTCTTTCCTTGTGTTTTCTGAGCGTTGCAATCTGAGGTCCCCACGGAATCCCTTAATCCCAAAATATTGAAGTTTGTCTTTACTCCGCAAAACAAGGCTGTAGCTGTCTGTGCAGACTCTGGTACCTGCTTGTCTGTGCCGTATACCTACAATTGTTAGATATAGAAAGGTGATAAGCAATATTTCTTCGACAGCTGAAAATTTCCCTACATCTCTATTGTTTTCGAAGTTCAAAAACACAGGAACTAGAAAATTTTACCTTATAATCAGATTTCATTGTAATGTTGTTCACTTAAAACAAAAGGTAGAGAAAAACTTACTTTAGACAAAGCCACATGTGGAAATTTTTCGAATTCCAGAATGGTTTCTTCTCCTGGTTTGCCTTGTTTTTGTCCTTTGTATATTCTAGCAGCATTAATAGTGGACAATCCCATGCCATCACCGACAAATACGATGACATTTTGGGCAATCCCTGTGTTTGGTTGTAATTTTAGAGCATTTTTTAGAGATTCCTTCGCAATTTCGTTCCAGTTGGTGCATTGAATCCCTATAAAATCACGTAAACTTTTAATTAAAATGACCCCGCATTACTCTCTTTAGTGTAATCACAGACAGATCTGCGCACCATACTTGCGAAAGAAATTACGATTGACATATACTATAGATACAGTTTGGCGAAATTAAGGATCAAATAAAGATTAGTGAATAGGATTTAATTCAGTATGATATCTATTGCATGCCACCATTTTTATTTCTAAGATCACCAAATTCTCTTATTATGTTCCCAATTGAACTCTCCATGTGGAAAAAAAAAAACTTTTTAAGTATTTTTCAGAGTCAAAATAATTATTGCCTGACACTGTTACTGTCAAATACTTGTATATAGAATCTATTATACCTGTAATTAAAAATTACAACCTACAAATTATGCTTTAAATGTACTTTAAAGAAATTACAGAGCAACCTCTTTGGCTTTCCATAATTTACCGGCTCGCACGCCATCTAGCGTTAATTCAGATTATGACTGTTTTTGCACGCCGTCTAGCGTCAGTTCAGTTAATGATTGTTGGTTTTGCATCGGTGAACGTTAGTTTTATTTTAAGCTGTTTGTTTTGTATTTAATTCATTATGTTTTTGCAAATCAATTGTTCGTTCTGCATAAACGTCATTTTGTTCACCCTTTCCGCCGCCCATACTAGCCGGTCCGTCCAGTTAGCACCAATAAAGTATTCGTATTTGTAAAGTTGTCATTTTGACTACATGGAATGTTGTCAAAATTCTGAAGCATAAACTAGGGGAAACCGCTGAAAATCTTTGACCCCGTCAAATATCTGTATCACAACATTTTAGTAATGTAATACCCTCATTTAATTGATGAACAAATTTATAAACAAAAGCAAACACTTTCTTCAGGGTGTTTTATACAATATCAACGCATCTTACGACGCACCGCTCCCAGCAATATTACGTTTGCGTTCAAAAAAGTATGAAATTAATTGCACACTAATATACTCGAATTTTGGGAAGACTGTCTAACCCCAAAAAGGTAGTTTGTATATTCAATAATAGTAGTTGCAATTATGATTAATATCAAGTAGTTTTTTTTACGAGGGATATCATTAATCAGCGGTATATTTTAAGCTTAAATGAATGACGTAGGTGAAAAATCCAAATGCCCTACCATTTCCTCACATACTATATGTGTAAACTCTATTATATATTTATTATAAATGTTCCACCCATTTTATAAAATGCTCTTCTTTACATTAAAAAGGGAAACCCGAGTCAAAAATAATCATTTAGCACATTTTCTGAAGTTTGTTTATGGGAATCACTCAAGCTTAAATAAATAGAGGTGGCACATTTTACGTTTTCTTTTAGTATATGTGTATTTTTTATGTGGTCAAAATCACACCATGGTCTAATTAAAAACAAGTATCCGCAGAAATAAATCAGTAGATATCCAATCAATTAAAAACAAAAAAACTCACCTTTACTCAACAAGACTCCAATAAAGAGTTTGATCGTCAGAGACACCACTGACCTCGTTTTCATGTTGCCATAAATCAGGCCTGAAATCTAATGTATACTACTTCGATGTAAATAAAGGTAAAATTGAATAGTTGACGTACGTGTTATTCTGCATTTTAAAACAATATATAAAACATAGCAAATGAAAAAAAAAATTAGAAACCGGATCTGATTTGGTAAAGGCATGTTTTGTTGTTCATTTGTATTACTCTGATGTGTTCTGCACTTTTTATTAGACAGTATTAATTATTGCGATACGTCACAGGTTATATTACACACCAATCTAACCAAGTGAAACTAATGCTTACTTCCTATTCTCTTTTGTTTCATCGAAAAAGAACAGATCCGGGGGGAGGTCCGACCCCCCCCCCCCCCGGAATTTTTGAAGTTATGAAATTTGTATAGTAAATTTGGATATCCCACCCCAACCCCACCACCCCCTGAAAAACAATAATCTCTTGGAAAGTTGGTAAAATTATATGTAGAAAGACTTTGTATATTGATAAATATGCGAAGCAAATATTTTTACATTTTAGATTTTGGATAAGAATGCTTTATCTCTGTCTTGGACAACTTACTTTTATATTCATTTCATACCGGAACTCTCTTGTCTTCTCCATTGTTTTTGTTTCCCCCAAAAGAAACCATAGAGACATACCCTCTAAGTAGAGGATGACTGGGTTTTGGATCTTTCTCGGTCGCTTCTATTTCTTTTATGTCAAAACCTTATTTCATTTTTTATTTTTATTTAAAGATCCTGTCAATCTTGAACCGATGGATTTAATAGACTGCGATACAGTAAAAGAGTTATATGTTTTTTTGTCCTCAGTGCTTTCCAAATATAAAGAATTTACACTTACCTGCCCTTGATTGAACAATAGGTGTTCATGAGAGATGGAGCTAACATTGTAAGAATTAGTCTAAAATTAGACTAGATAAATATCAATGACATGTATTTAAAAAACACTGTTTCCTGTCTCCATATCTATTCTGTATGGCACAATAAACTATTCACAATTTTCAAGACGGAATTAACAATATGAGCACGACCACATAAGTAAAGAAGATTTTAAATCAATGCCTGACATTTTTTTTAATGTGTTTTAGTTAAATTAGCACAAAACATGCTACTGTCGTTTGTCATTTTTCATTCTGATATTGAAAATTATCACATGACAGATAATTTGTCATGTAATCATTGAATATTAATAAACGACACTACGAGTCATGTGACAGAATTTAGTATTCTCAGAGGTTACAGAGTTACCTGAGGTAAGAAATCACGTGGTGAATTGTAATATTCAACATGGCACAACCCTTGGTTACAACAGAGAGAGCGAATGTAACAGTTTGTTTTTCTCTTTTAAACCATGAGTGCATGTTTGTCTATTAATCTCTTTTTGACACAACATCAGTAAAGCAAATATTCACCTACTGTTAAACGGAGAATGATAGACAACCATGTATAAAGTCAGTAAAAACAAGAGGCCCATGGGCCACATCGCTCACCTGATCACAATGGCTAGGAAAAAAAAGCAAAAATCAGTTCAGTATTGAAAAGTTTATGGGGAGGTGGGGTGTTGAATTTTAAACTACCTGATGATGCTTTCATATCAATATAACAAATGGCTTTGCTGTTCTTGAGCAGAAGATTTTTTCCCATATATTCATTTGTAAAAATTTGATCCCCCATTGTGGCCCCACCCTACCCCCGGGGGCCCTCATTTGAACAAATTTCATTCTACACTATCCAAGGATGTCTCCATATCAATTTGACTAATCATGGCTTTTCTGTTCTTGAGAAAAAGATTTTTTCCTATATATTCCTCTGTAAACATTGATCACCCATTGTGGCCCCACCCTACCCCCGGGGTCATGATTTGAACAAACTTGAATCATCACTATCTGAGGATGCTTCCATATAAATATGACCAATCATGGCTTTACTGTTCTTAAGAAGAAGATTTTTAAAGATATGTTCCTATATATTTCTATGTAAAACTTTTATCCCCCATTGTGGCATCACCCTACCCCCGGGGACCATGATTTGAAAGCAAACTTGAATCTACACTACCTGAAGATGCTTCCATATAAATATGACCAATCATGGCTTTGCTGTTCTTAAGAAGAAGATTTTTTAAAGATATTTTCCTAAATATTTCTATGTAAAACTTTGATCCCCTATTGTGGCCCCACCCTAGCCCCGGGGGTCATAAATTGAACAAACTTGAATCTACACTACCTGAGAATGTTTCCACATAAGTTTCATCTTTCCTGGCCCAGTGGTTCTTGAGAGGAAGATTTTTAAATGATGCAATTATTTTTTTCACTAATTCCTAATTATCTCTCCTTGACAGATGACGTGGCCCTTCATTTGAACAAACTTGAATCCCCTTCACCCAAGGATGCTTTGTGGCAAGTTTGGTTGAATTTGGCCCAGTGGTTCTTGAGAAGAAGTCAAAAATGTGAAAAGTTTACAGACAGACAGCTAGACGGATGCCGGACAGAATGTGATCAGAAAAGCTCACTTGAGTCTGCGGCTCAGGTGAGCTAAAAAGTGGGCGTCCTCATTATCATTTGGAGATTCAAGAAATTGTGATGATCCCCGCCTTTGAAAACAGCTTCGTACTTCGTAAATACATTTACATACTTTCATTTTTTGTAATTAAATAAAGATGTAAATTAGATTTTGACCATTCCTGCAATTAAAAGAAAAATGCTTGTTTTGAAAGTTCATTTTGATATTGAGAATAAATATATTTTAAAAAAAGAAAAGAAAAAAAGTTCATTTTGTAGCAAATTTGGTTTGTTTTTACAATAAACTGTAAAATGTAAAAGTGATCTCACCGCCATTCAGCAGGACCCTTAAATAAGGAATCTGGCCTTCAGGGACACCGTGACGTTGTTCTCTTGTTGTTATACAGAATACCTAAAATCTTATTTAATGTACCAGCCAGCCACGGGGGATAGTCCTAAGTCCTGATGAATTGTTCACGTGTCATTTTCAAGAAATATTTTACATAATATCGTACGCAATTACCAAATGGCTTGCTAAATTGGAGAGATACAGAGGGCATAGTTTAGGGTTTGTCCTAACTTTGGGTCTCCCTTTTTATAGGCTCCTTTAGCTTGATTTAACAGAAATACTCTGTATAAAACAACACTTTATACACACGATTTTATCAAAACTTTACGAAAAGTAATATACCAACCTTCTAAATCGTTTTTTTCTCTGGTTGGTAAAGTTTTTAACTAATTCATTTTTTTTTTATTTTAACATAATCTCATCATACCTCGATTGCATATGACGTGTCTTAAAAATTTCTATAGACAGGCGAGGATCCAGGAATTGAAGTTAGGGGGGCGCAAGAAGAAGGCATGGGGTCTGGAGCCGCCTTGAGGCCCCCAGTGGGTCCAGGACGAAGCCCTGGTGGGTGTTTCAGGGGGCGAAGCCCCCGGAAGCTCCTGGTTTCTAGAGATTTTGTAGGGTAAAAATGAAGTCTACCGAGTAGACATTTTTATATTTTCTCGACGAAACTATGACTTACGCTAACTTTGACAATTTTTTTTGGGGGGGGGGGCGGACGCCGGGTGCGCCTCCCTTAAATCCGCCACTGGTAGAATGATAGAAGTTTTCTTGAATTAATAACCGAATCCCATGGACATATTGAAAATGTTCAAAAAATGAGAGTTTCATTGTTGACGACCTTGAACAGCCCATTTATTGCATGGGCCTCTTATTTTTTGTAGTTCCCATTCAATTTAAGGTAAAACAGATGTAAACGTACAAAACTCTTATTTGTACATTTAGACTTACAGTAGTTTATTTAAATCTTACAAAATTATTGATGTTCTTTTGTCAATTGATATCCATGCACAATCACGAGCTTTGATGTAAATGTAAGTGCTTGACAGGTTTTGTGTGTCCGAATCTCAACTCTTAAAAATCCGCCAGGTATTGAATGGATAGGTCACAATCCTAGGACTGATTGTGCATTTGAACGGTTCATTGACCAAAACGCTTACCTGTATATCATCTTTCTCTTCATCTCTCGCCATGACATTGAATGTAGTGTAACGGAGAGAAAACCCGTGGGCTCCGACGATGCAATCTGACAAACTGTGAAACTAATGTTAAGGATCCATCACAGCTCTGATTCCATGAACAAATGTACTCACATGTTAATTCTATTCCATGTGGTTCTACAATTCCTGAGGAATATTTTCCTATATACATGTATTTCTATGTAATTTAAACTCCTTTGATCCTATCTAGCTTCGGACCATTTTTAAATTTAATTTACACTGTAATTTTAGGCAAGATTCCACCCAAGTTTTTTTTTTCTTTCTGATTCAGTTGCTTGAAAAGAGGGAATTTACATGACCCCACTTTGTTATTATTATTTTTTTTTTATATAATTCTCTCCTTCTGGAAGGGATTATGGTCTTTCCTTTCACCAAACTTAAAATTCCTTATACCCGAAGATGTAGCATTCTAATTATGTTCCCCAAACGAAGTTTGGGAACATATTGTTTTTACTCTGTTTCTTATTAAGGTCTTCCGACTTCCTTCGGAAGACCTTATTGTTTTCCGTCTGTTTTCTATTATTAAGGTCTTCCGTCTTCACGGAAGACCTTATAGTGATTCTACTGTTTCTTATTATTATTATTATTATTATTCTTTTTTTCATAGTTATGGCGATATCTCAGCTGTGAGTGAGCAGATTTCAGAGATTTTTTCGCGGAAGATGCATCATGTAAATATCTCCAGACGTGTTTTTCATTTTTTCAAAATTCACTTCCGTTCGCGATTTTTGGGAAAATTTGTATTTTTTAAATGGCATTTTGTCCAGAATTTTTCTCGACAACGGCTAAAGATATGAAATTGAAACTCAATGAATAAATAGAACATCAAATTCCAATATGGGGAACGACCTTTATTTTTCGTCGTCGCCACTTCCGGTCGCAAACGGAAGTGAATTCAAAAAGTCCAATTTTTCAACTTTTTTGTTTTTCAATATTTTTCTTTAGGATTTACAGGGTTTATAGAGTGTTTTACAAAAATCC